GAACGAGAGAGTTACTTATTAAACTACCTAAGTCGAAACTTTTTCTTTTATCCCTAAAAAGAGCCGCTGGAGGATTGCTTTGCTTTCTAACATCTCTTTCTGTTATCAAAATGCTCTTTAGCACTAGGCGTCTAGTAAGCGATAGCTATCGCTTACCTAGACAAAGGCCGAAGCACCACAGACACACTTCAAGCACAAACTCGTATTTGTAAATAAATCTAGTTAGAACGGCCTCGGCCAAAGTCTTACATAGCCTCGAGCTCACTAGACTCTAATGGAACAATAATATAGTTTCTTACTACAGCTCTCTATTCTGTATATGAAACAGAATTTGGAGAGCCGTAGATTCAGTTTTAAAGACTGAATTGAAGAATTTGACATGTTTGAGAGAAGTTGCATTACTTGAAACTTAGTGGGAAATGTGAAGATAGTAGCCTAAGCGCGACGCACGAACGAAGCTACACTGACTAGTGCCAAGGCTGTGCTACTCGATATTTTCTTAGTTACTAGATTCAGTATAGACATACATGCAAAGTTGAAAGATACACTGTATACACTAACAAGATAGTATTGTCAAAGATATTTACAGCTACTTAAACATCCCAACTTCAAGCCGAACTGTAACTTTCTAAGAACAGTTTGCATAATTAAATTTCCCATCATAATAAACAGATGTCTTGCAAGGAGTGTTGTCCTTTTGACAGGGAGATTGCTTCGTACTTGTTAGTATTCTTATGTTTCCCAATCGATCATTACATACTTTACGGCACGCCTGCGCATTCACACTATTGCCTAGTTCATTGTATATCCAGCACCAGCCTTGCGGGACATTCGGATCATTTGTATTGGTACAAGTCGGCTAGTAGAACCATGTTAGAGCTGCGTGATATTGTAAGTTGCTAACAGGAATAGAAGGTTATCATACATCATTAGCACGGCGATTTAGATAAGGGTTGTCAACCTGCAATCCAGGGTGTCCATAGACTGTAAAGGCCAGGCTTAAAAAGATAGTGATCGAATTGAACAACATATTGAAGTGTGCGAGATATTTTGATATCGGGTACGTGGTATAGAAAGAGAAGATAAGTAGACAGTACCCGCTATATATATTCTCCTTATCCAGTAAATACTGTCAATTATCGAGTATTTAGAATATGAAGTCTTGGATTTTAGGTACAGAACGCGTGGCACCTATTTTTGCTGGAATAGTAGCAAGGGTATACCTCTAACTAATTCGCGCAACATAAGCAAAATAAAATTGCCTCTCCACTTAATTGCCGTGGTTTAACATGTAAAGTGAGTGATCAGTAGTTAGCAGGGGTATAAAATGCGGTGTATATGACTAAGATAACGTCATATCATATGTGCTTATTGTAGATCTCTTTGTTATGGACGCGTCAAGTGAGACTTAAGAATACATTGTGAAGCTTTTACCAAGCTTCAGTTGGGATCGATGAAAGGAATCATATTGGAGCCTACGAAATTATTGTTGTCAGCGTCCAAAGCAGCTGGGCTTGATATTGAGATGCCACCTCCTGACCACCAACTCTCAATTGATTCCCGCATTGCCTAGGAAAGTTGAGGATTCTTACAACAAACTCGATCACTCGCCTACTTACTAGGCTACACCTCTGCTTTATCTGAGCTATTGATCCTTTTAAAAGCTTGCACGGGCGAGCAACCCTAAGTGGCTCGGGGCTAACAACCGCGCGTTTCGCATGCTTTGGGCAGAACACAATACGCCACCAAATGCGTTAAGGCGAACAAAGGTTATCTCCAGCGAGATCGACGATACAATTGAAGCCCTAATCAAACCAAACGGCGCTGCAGTTACTATTAATGGCGATATGGATTAGTATGAAAGGTGGAGGGCGCGCGAACCAAAAGTCAGCAAGGATAGCCATGCTGCCGTTCACCCTATCAAATTCTGAGTAGGGTTGCGTAGTGGCCACCCTAACCTTGCCCTAATGACCATTACCATGATTTTATACCTGCTTCAAGCTGTGAGTGCATGTTGAGTGAGCTTGGAGACTTCCTTGAACCCCAACAGCGGCAGATCTCATCACAGTTACTAGCCGCTATACAATACGTACGGCAGTGACATAGAGAGGGTACTGACCAATGTAGTATTATTGCTATGTTAGCACTACCTCACGCTAGTATAGAGGATATATATCAAATTTGCAATTCAGATCGTGAGAATGAGTAATTAGTGCAGGCGATCGATCTATATAACACCGAGCCATTAATCAAGCCTTGTAACATAGTGTTGGTGTTTCAAATCGAGGCGGCGGCTGGGGCATCATAGGCTTGATGGTTGAAAAGTCTGATCATGTCTGCCTTAGCTTCGTGAGTTACTACAAAGTGCATCCTGTAATAGCAATTCAACGTCGCAAATCATCATGTGGGTTTATGAGAACACAAGGCCAGTCAGCGTCCATTATCAGACGATGCGATACTGATTAACAGCACAGAACACTACCGATACGACACGATCTTGGCATGCAAGGAGGGTGAAATATGATCCCTCTGTTTTATGAGTGATTTTGATGTGCTAACGCCGAGGATTTCCAAACACAACACTGTATCTCAAAAGGGTAAATCAATAAACATGGTAGTTATCAACCCTAAAACATGGTACTCATCGCTTCCACTTACCAAGCAAATTGGAGGCCGCGGGCGGCTAGAATTCAATATCCCGCTGAGCAGCATATGATTTTTTGTTTTTGTGACGATCACGTGTACATAAGACACGCCGGGTGAAGCACGTGGCATGCATGCATTGTTTTTAAACTCGTTTAGCACACTTCACATCTATTTTTGTTTGCTAAGCGTCATAGGTAAGGAGGGTTTATGGTACGTCAAGCATCATGGTGGCCGAGGCATAATGTTCTAGAGATTCTTGACGTCAAATGTCGCATGTTCCGCCGACTCCCGAACGTGGCTGACAGATGGCGCGCAGTTGCCCAAACTTCGTGTACTTAGAGTCCGCCCATGTTGTCTTCGACGCCTGATCAACAATGACTGTACATAGCGCGCCACTATCGCGCACGTGTCTGTTTTTTCGTCTCGCCAGAAAGAGGACGTTTTCTCGTCATGGTGCTGACACGAGTGTGGGTCGCCTTGGCGTTTATTACGAAGTCCCAATAACTTCAAATGTCAAGGTTCTGGTGCTGCAAAGCGCCAGGCTGTTTTGGATTGAGAGCTTGTAATAAGCCAAGAATTCTCCCCTAGCAGACATTCCGGTCTGCTATGGAGGGACGCGTTGGTCTCTGTGACGATCCTAATGTCATGTCGATCTCAAGAACGATCTCGTGCGTACTACCATTGTCAATGAGTCACTTGACTCCATTGGTAAGATGTACGTGGCTCCTATGAGCAGCTGCTCATTTGCATTGTACAGCCGTCGACTCCGATGTGTAAAGTCCAACCACTGGTGCACCGAGGCGCAAGCCCGCTCCGGATACCAGATGTACAATATACTGGTTGTAACAAGATTAGGATCCGTAGTCCGGGTTTGTGTATTGCAAGCAAGCATACCCCGGGTCTTGGGTGATATGTGCCAACTTGAGTATCCCCGAACCTCTGCCTTTTGCGACGACATGGGCAGCCGACGACATGGCTGCAACGGCAGATGGGTTTGAATCTAGAACGAATGTGATGGTGTACCCGCAATCTTGCAATGCTTGTCCTGTAGGAGAGGTCTTGAGCTTTTGCCATTGGCTCCGTGTTCTTCTTTTTATAATATCAGCAAGACACCGTCTCCTACCCAAATTGTGAATTCGTCCATCTCCGTCTAGTGCTTACTTCTCTTTCCTAGCCTCTTATGCATCTCTTGAGTTTCTGACAAACAAGTTCTTTGTTTGGTCATGTCTTCTTCTCATCGGCTTTCCATCCATCCTTTGGTATTACGGACCACTCCAGGGCACAACGATACCCTACCCGAGACCGCCATGGTGACCAGTTGTACAGTTTGTTGCTCATGGAAACTCGAGAGCATACCAGAGGCATCTTCTGAGCTCATAAAAACAACTACGGCCAAGCGCGCAACGTGTCGGAAGTACTCAACTTTTGCCAGTGCGAGATTGCGCATTGCAGTCGTTACCGCACATTTTGGTGAGCATAAAGAGCACTACGAGATGGTGCGTCAAACGCACCTTCTTCACGCTTTAGTCCACGGCACAGAGGTCAGGGTCATGTGGGATCCTATTGTTGACGACCTGTGGAACAAGCCTGCGTTTATCTTAGAGCTCCTCATGCGCGAGATGGTGAAACCAGAGAAGGAGCGGCTTGAATGGATCCAATGGGTAGACCGTGATACCCTTGTCCTGGACCAATGCCGCCCTATATCGAGTTTCCTTCCCCCAGAGGAGACGCGCTCCAATCCGGGGTGGTATCGCGACGACCGAACCAAACAAGTGCATCCAAACACAACGAATCTCCATGTAGCTCAAGATTAGAACGGCCTCAAAATTGACGTGTTTCTATCACGAGTCAACAAGTGGGCGACTGACCTTTTCACCACCATCCTCGCTTTCCGAGACTACAGGCCCGATATCGACCTCCCTTTTACGGAATAGTCGGCTATGTAGTATATTCTTGATACTGACCAATTCACACATGAAACAAGATACATACCCGAGCATCGGCTCAATGCGTATGGCGAGGGCGGAGCACCATTGTTTGAGGAGCGACAGGATACCGAAGGGTTACAAGAGGGTAGTGCTAGGAGAGGTGGCTATTTAGTGCACTTTGCAAGGCATGGGCACAAGGGTGAAGCCATCAGAGAATGGACCGGCATGCTCGGTAGGCTTGGAGATGTTTGGAAGGAGAAGAAGGTGCCGAGAGATGTGTCACCAGGCATTGAGGCTTTCTGGGCGAACCTTGGCTATGCGAGATAGCGCTGAGGGTGGTGTTGTGTTGGTGTGCCAACAAACTTGCAACCTCGAAATAAATTCGCCATACACATGTGTATGAATGACGGCGACTCAGTTGGCTGTCGGAAACAGGGATATGCGTGCTTCCTGGTACGTATATCAAAGAATGGCGCTTCTGGTTGGCGGTATATCTTTTTTAGAGTTTGACACAAAAGAAGCGCCGATGCACCACGTTGCAGTGGCAACTCCTCCGACAAGCACCCAAAACCTGCCTCGAGACAAGTGGAGCAAAGGAGCAAAGGGTAGCTTTACCGAAAAAGGCATAAGGGTGCTGTTAGCGCAGTAGACTGGAAGCCTGATGGCTGCTTTAGCATACGTGAGCGTCGGCAAGGAGCTGCCGGGCTGATATAAGCGGGAGTTGCATTTTCCAAAGGTGTGTGCACCTATGTCGCATTCTCGTAGCGCCCGGACGCTTGGAACGATAGGTCTGGAAGCAATTGTTTGGGAAATTTGCATGTGTGCTTGTGCGGAAGACGGAGCTGGATTTGGGATGCGAGGCCGTGGTATAAGTGGAACTGGGTTTTTCTAACCCGCAGGCGTGCCTCCTTCTGCGCGTCGGTGCTGAGATATTCTCGCTCCCAGTACGGCATCGGCATCAGGGCCTTATGACGGCGCCTGCTTGAGAGCGCCGTGTGGCTGTAAAATATGCTTTGTAAGGATACGGTTGCACGGTGTGAATGCGATTTTGCTAGACTGCTCAGAATGCCAGTCAGCCACACTGAGTCGGGGACAGAGACGCTTACAGCCACGGCCCGCCTACTGGCGACTGGTGGCGCCCGGTCCGTGAACATCCCCCCCCCCTCCCCCCCCCCCCGAAAATATGTCATCCGTCTGAGCCGGGTGCCGTCGCCATAGTTTCCCTGTCATGTCGAGCTCCCGCGTTTCTTACATCGCCCGACGGCTATTTGGTTCTCCCTAAGTCGAGGCCACAGCAGCACTGACAAAGGCTGCCATGAAACCACCTGCATACTGGACGGTCTTTGGAATTATTGTATGAACATATGTATGCCTGCCTTGCAATGCCCCAGAACCGCCGAAGCAGCGCCGCAGGACTGCCGAAGAAAGGCCCAAAAGTTATGCTCTTTTCGTTTGGTATTTGAATTCCTGTCACTACATTGGTTCTTCCACCACATGGCCTTGTTTCGCAAACCCTTTCCGGTGAGCATTGAACATCCGCCACGCGACAGCACAGTAGCATTGAATCGGGGAGCCCAGTTCTGGGTTGAGTCGTGTCAGACAAGTGCTGCCCTGTCCAATCCACGCTGCCGTCAGGTTCCACAAGTAACAAGGCTGCACATCTGCGCTAGGTTCAAGCCGCAGATCATCCAAGGCACACAGCTTCCATGGAATTTGGCTCCTGTTCGGTACCCAGCACATGGCTGTTGGGTCCGGGGGGCCTCAATTCTAAGCGATCTCCTTCTCACCTGCATCTCTTCTCCTCCAAACATTGCGCAACACCTCCAACTTCCAGAGCGACAGCCCACTTCGATACCCAGCGCAACACTTGCCCAAGCAACCTCCGAGAGCACCCCGAGAAGTCTTCCCTGCGACCAGAGCGATCCCCCCATGTTACCAATTTAGGACGATTGAATGCTGATTTCACGCGCGTCTTCACCAAATTGCAAACGCCTTGCTGACCAGCCCTCGCCACCTCGTCAACATTTGGTGCGTCCGACACCAGAGCCCCGCACAACTTCCAAAAGAACTGTTCACACTACTGTCTGCCCCCACGAACGCCCGGGTAACCTACGCTGCGGCTAGCCGTAGCCAGCTGGCCCAGACTCCAACGGTGGCGGTAACTTCGGCGCTTTTTACAAACGCCCCATGTCGTCGGACGGGCTTCAGCCTGAAGCCGGCATCTTCTATGGCGTATGCTGGATGGCTGTCATTGTCCGACTCATCTCGCGCAGGCTACACCGTGGAGCATGGAAGCGCTTACAGCTGGATGATTACTTGATTCTTGTGGCCATGGTTCGTGATTCACCGCCTTGAGCGACACTGTAGATGCTGATTTGCAATCAGGCCACAGATACTGTGCTCAACAGTGTCATGCATGAGATTACCAAAACCAGTAGCAATTTGATACCGCCCGGCGACGATATTTCACAGTATTCTCAGGCTGAGATCAAGAACCGCATTTACGGATCCAAGCTGGTCTTGGTGGTAGAGCAGATGCAGATCCTCACAATCTGGCTGGTCAAGGCCTGTCTGCTCATCATGTACGAACGCATGACTCTAGTCCTCCCACAACACAAGATCGTTATTGGCACCTCTATCTATGTGGCTGTGTCATTTGTTGTCATGGAGATATTATATCTCGGCGTGTGGTGTAGGCCATTCAACCAGTACTGGGCGGTCCCTCCAAACTCCAGTAAGTGCACTACCAATAAGTGTTCAATCGCATCGCGCTTATCGTTGCAGAACAATGCTCTGCGGCTACAAACCACCTCATCGCCAATGCTGTCTTCAACATTTCCAGCGATTTGATTATAATAAGCATACCCATGCCACTTTTGTTCAAGATCCGCTTGCCAAAGAAGAACAAGATGATTCTATGCATGATATTCTGTATCGGAATGTTTACCATTGTCGCTGCTGCCCTCAACAAGTACTACTCGTTTACCCATCCCTTTGGGAATGAGTGGACTATCTGGTACTTGCGGGAATCCTACACAGCTATCCTCTGCGCCAACCTTCCCCTTACCTACCCACTTATCCAACGCATTTTCCGCCTTCGCAACTGGAGCGCGAATACTTACAATTCCGACGCGGCTGGTACCGTCTCCATCGCCCAACCACCACAGCCCTCGCAACATTCCCGCACGTATTGGCATGAACCGAGAACAACAGAAATACCCAGAGGGTTCAGAGATGTCTTCCGGCGAACAGAAAGCCAAGAAGACATAAATGGTGGCTTGGGGAAGCAAAAAGAAGACCATGACCCGGATTTCATCACAAGCGCCATTGAAATGGAAGATACGCGAGCGCCACATGCGTCGCACATGAGCGCCCCTGCAAGTTGGCGGACCTCGCGCAGTGCGGAGGATAATACCAAGAGCCCTGATCTATTTCACCCCGTTTGAATGGATGCATGAGATTTGAAAAACGAAACCTACTCCCATTTGCGCCCATCGCGGTTAGCCTTGCTATCGGCCACGAATATGCCAAGAAGTACCTGTGTCTGCTGAAGAGTATAGATCTCCACAATCTGCCCGAATCATCGTCTTGCGTCTTCGTAATTGTGCGTGCGTGTGCCCTTGGAGCACCATGATGGACGCGCCGATTTGGGAACAGTAGCCATCATGGTACATCGGTACTCACATGACAGATGAGTCGGGAGGCGTTTTTAAACGTTTCCTGTAATTTCACCCTACATCAATCCTTATCGAGTGTGAGCTAAAGAGCCGCGGGTTATAGCAGCATGCATGTCCACGATGTTTTGATTGTCGGCGCTGGACCAGCTGGTCTAGCAGTGGCAGCACGACTGCGCGAACATACCCCATCGGCCACCTTTACTGATGATGAACACCAGCGCTACCACTGGATCAAAAAGCATGGACGAAAGATGAACATCAAGAACTATCGAAAGAACCAGGACTCTATGCCCTCGCCCCCTTCAACACCAGGCACATCTGACTGCGGGTGCGAACAGCTGGTTCTATCGGAAGAAGCAACAGATATGTTGGTTCTCGATGCCGATGGAGCATATTGGATGTCCAAATGGAAGCGGCTCTTCAAGACATTTCACATAGACTACCTCCGGAGTCCAATGTTCTTCCACGTGGATCCCGCCGACCGAGACGCACTGCTCGCATACACTTACGAGAAGGAAAGAGAAAAAGACATTCAAGCTCTACCTGGTATTGCGGGCAAAGAGGTCAGCAAGCATAAGAAGAAGAAGAAGCTCAAACAAGGAAGGTTTCTAGGCGGTACACCAGACGTTGATGAGCGAGATCGAAAAGACTACTTTGTGCCGCGAATGGACTTATTCGACGCACACTGCGACGAGGTCGTTCGAAGGTATCGCCTTGGCAACGAAATGCTTCGTCATGAAAGCGTGACGAGTATCGAGTATGACGAGGTGGCCAAATTTGCGGATGCTGAGCATGACAGCGTCATATCTGATGATGGCTCTGGAGATGATAGAAAGATATTCCGCGTCACAACCAACCAAGGCGTGCGATTTGCACACATTGTCATTCTCGCGATAGGTCCTGGAAATGCACCATCAATACCTCCAGTACCTGGACTGCCGAGCATACGCCCGCATGAAGGCTTCTCGCACGCAATGCAAATCAAGCAATTCCCAGCGCCACATGTAGCAGCAAAGATCAAGGCGCGTCAGTACTCTAGCATGCTGATCGTAGGAGGCGGCCTTACAAGTATTCAGCTAGCCGATCTAGCTCTCAAGCGGGGGGTAAACAAGGTGTGGATGCTCATGCGTGGACCGCTCAAGGTCAAATACTTTGACGTAGACCTTGACTGGGTTGGCAAATTCAGAAACTTCAACCAGGCTGCATTTTGGACCGCAGATACAGATGAAGGTACGTGAGGTAATTATATAGTATCAGTAGAGTACAAGCTAATCACCATGCTAGAACGATGGGGGATGATGATGCAAGCCCGAAACGGCGGCAGCATGACGCCTCGATACCGCAAGATCCTAGATGCGCACATCGCTCATGGTAAAATTGCTCTGCACACCTATACGACGCTTGAATCGGTATCCTGGGATCCTTGCTCCAAGACATGGACGTGCGAGACGTCTTCGGACGAGGTCAAGCTCCCAGCACTAGACTACATTGTCTTTGCAACGGGCATCCAATCCGATATCCGTACCATACCTTTTCTCCAAACCATCCAGAAACAGTACCCTATCAAGTACGTCGGTGGTCTGCCGTGCTTGAACGACGACCTCATGTGGGACGACGATGTGCCGCTGTTTGTCACTGGAAGACTCGCAGGACTTCGACTTGGGCCTGGAGCACCGAATCTGGTTGGGGCACGAGTCGGCGCAGAGAGAATTGCGTGGAATGTCGATGATGTGTTGAAGAAGCTGGGCAGATCACGACGTGACGTACAGGACCAGAGCGATAGCGATAGTGGAAATGAAAAGTTAGAGTCGTATGCTGCGGCTAGGAATAACCGGTTTGGTAGTCTGGTTGAGATGGACGAATGATGGCCTAGACTATCGTAGGTCTTCGAATAACCATCTTTGGATAACACTGAAGGAACGAAGATATGACCATACCGTGATGACCTGTTTGGAAGACTTTACTTGCACTGGCATCTGGTCGTTTTCTTTGTGCCATCTTTTCTCTCTAACAGCGCATGTGAATTGTACCACGATATCTTGAGCACCTATTCACGCGCTACTTGTGCACTGGATGCAGATCTCTTTCCAGTTTTGTTATTACCTGCTACCTGGCTTCTTCTAGCACAACGCGATCGTAACTTGTCAAAAATCATCGATGTTCTTGCCATCGCAGACTAGTGACACCCTCCGTATGATGCCTATTGCAGGCGCGCGCCCCCAGAAAACGAAGCGGCCTCTGCAAGCAGGGAAGGACAATAGTGTACGAAAAGGAAGGCATGTCCTCTCCCCCATGCCCGCCTCATAGTATGTAACATCACATTATGCCTTGTTGACTCCATCTCTCCATTTGTCAACTTCTTTCTACAAGACAGTTTCCTCGTACACGAACGCAACCCACCCAACATCTCATGTCTTATTTCCGTAACACCCTTGAACCGCTACGCAAAGCTATCTTCCACGAAGCGAATATACAAAAGCCTACATTAAATTTTGGGGGCATATAAGCTCTAGGCATGCTACAAAGGCAGCTGGGGTGAAGACAAAACTCCCTGTTACGCTCTGAGGCCACGGCCAGTGATGACAAACGGGCTCTGACCATGAAAGTCGCCCTGCATAGCTTGCTAACAGCGCGTCATCTCTACAGGCTATCTTCACTCGTTGGAGACCTCAGTTCAGTTTGTCAGCGACAAGTCGTCATCATTGGTTTCACACCTTGTTACGCGATGAAGGGCCTTGAATCATCTCAGGTGGGCTCGAGGATCAACTTTATACTTGGACTGGGAATCAAAGAATTTTGCTTGTTGGTGGTGCGGGAGAACTTGGAGCCGCGGTTAAGTTGTTGCTCGTCTTCGGTTTACGCGCTTGCTCGAATCAGATTCTTCTTGTTGGCAATCTTGCTGTTCGGGTCTCTACTTCTTGTAATGATGACGTGATGTCCCCATATCGGCTTCATGGTGCTTCTTTCTTCATGTATGTTTGATGATACTCGTGCGCTAACAGGTGGGACGTGGTTATGTAGTGGAGAAGGGTACAGCTAATCACGATGAATTAGATGCATATGCTTCCTGTTAATTAACCTGCATGTGTATCATCTAGGTAATGCGGTCTCTACTTATTCCATATTACCTGATTCGTTAAATTAAAACCAGTCAGATGTTGAAGCGCGTCTACATAGAGAAAGGGGTTTGCTAAGACGAAATAATGTATATACTACTACCAATGTTGAGTATGTGACCGTAAAGACCAGCCGTCTACATGACTGATAGTAGATGCAAAGCGAGGTGCTCGCGCTAGTCGAATGGGAAGCCGCATGACGGTAATATTGGAAAAAGTGTGGCAACCTAAACAGTACCATGGCACTGTTGCATCGTGCTTGTCTGATCGCTCACAAACCTGGACTACATCACGCATTACGGAAATCGCACAACTGGTTTCAGCACATTGTCCACCATGTTGCGAGTATGAAACACTTCTTTCTCTGCAACGATTCTGCCATAACTGGTCTATCTCGGGAATTCACCATCGGGCCTGACGTTGAGGAACTTGTTGGAAGACGTTGTGCGGGTTGCGATATCAGCCTTTGTTATTATCAGCACCATATCTTCAGTTCACTCCACCTATCGCAACACATACAGTAGTCGTGGCCTTTGCCTAGCTATTCTCAATAGTAATCAGAGCCTTCTCCGTCCCTTGCATCTTTGCGCTTGTGTTGCCAAGATTGCTTTGTACGAGACCAGGGCAAACAATATAGGCACTGAAGTTGGATTGGGGCCCATGTCTAGCCATGGTGAAAAAGTCTAGAGAAGCCTTCGACATGGCATAACATATATATTCAGTGAATTTGAGAGGCTAGCGCATTCCCCATCGAACTAGATGCACTGCTCATTGAAACCAAGGCGCATTTCATGGGCTTGCCAAGCACTGGCTGCTCTACCTGGTAGGTGGCTATTGGTGGTATGGTGTTTGCATTGAACGCATCGTGAACCTCATGAAGGTTGATTGAACCAGGTAGACTAGTCGAAGGACAGGTTCATGCAAGGACAATAAGGATGTTGATGTGGTCAATGCCGGTCTCCTCTGCCTCTCTGATAGCCTTTGCTGGATGTTCGAACTTGGAAGAACCAAAATATGACAAGGAACAGGCGCGAACCTTCGGTCACGGACAACTTTCTGGGTTTCCCATAAACAGTATATGCGCTATTATAGTCACTTAGGACTATAATATGATATAAGTGTTCGAGGTAAGCTTTAGCTAGGCCTTTGTGATTACCTGGGCATGTTCATAGTGTTCTTTATTTCAAACTGAGTATATTTCAACCGCTTCCACCACCCGTGAACAAGGCAGCTATAGGGAGTGCCTGAAAGGTAATCACAAAATCATTAGTTTGACGAAGATGAGAAGCTGGTAGCAGAAGCTTGTAGAATCTCATCCTCGGTTGTTGTGCGACTTAGATTGCCTCTGCCAGCTCTGACAACAGCAAAGCAGAATTCCACAAAGCAAGCGCTTAATATTGGTTTTTCCGAGTATTCTGGTTTCTGTCCACAGCACCGTTAGCTCGCCGCAAAGATGTCGCTATGTATGTTTACTGCGCGCCAGTGCCTAGCATGAAATAGACCCTCAGGTTAGAATTAAATTCTTACTTCGTGATCTTGTCGTATATAGATTGAGTAATTCATTTCCACTACAGTAAGTACAGTAATGTATAAGGTAGCCTACCTATAGCTTGAAGAACTACTACTTTACTTAATGTGAGGTGACTGTAAGAAACCATGGCAATAGTCGTAGTATTAGGAAGCGAATAATAGAATTGATTGATAGTACATGAAGAGGGAAACGAAAAGGAGTGTTATATGAGCTCAGTAATGCTTCCTGATCAGGCATATAATGCGAACCCCTGCCCGCTAAAGGTGGCAGTGACTTTTGACAGGCACATCCGCACATTAACTGCAGTTTGCGTTGCCGTAGCCGTCGGCGTTCGGGTAGCAACCGTTTCCAACAGTGCGACATCCAAAGTTCTGTTGAGTGTAAGTATATTATTTTGTTATTCTTTATAGATATACAATACCTGTCTACAGGGCTGCATCGCTCCCGTGTCGCTATCTCTGCACACTCCATACATAGCGTCTACTAGAGGCGTATTGCAGTTCTGGAGTGCATTAGGAAAGCACCCATTTAAATACTGAGAGCCTTCTAGCTACTTACCCACGAGGCCAATGCAGTACAGATAAGAGAATAGAAGATTGCGCAGGTGTACAGCTTCATCTTGTTGCAGTGTTTTGGACTATTTAGTCTTGTAATAGTTGTGTGTGGTTGTAATGGTGACAACCGGCAAGTCACAGCTGGTTAAATACTGCTACCATATTCTCCTGAGATCTAGACTCCATGAAGAACGCCCTACCTATACAGTATCGGCCGTGATCACTCATGGCCAGTCCGGCTTCGCGCTTTCGGTTTCCTTTAATTTAGCCGAATAGGGTCAAGTCTGAAGCCCTAGGCGGATTTTGTACAAATAAACGATGAGGTATTTTTTACATATTGCTTCCTTAGGTCAGATTGGTGGTCATGATGAGGTACGAGCACAAGCAGGGATCACAGAAAGCTCGAACATTGACTATCTGGGCCTAATTGCGATTAGCTCTGCACACTGCGTTACATACGAATTAGTATTCTGACGATGCCCAGTACGGTAATTACGCAATTTTGGCTGTATCGTACACCCACATCTATAGCTAGAGATCTATAGCTAACGCTCTTTTTATGGCTTTTATTCTTCGAAAAAGAGGCTGTGGCTACTGGTTTTGCTTTGTGCCTCCGTTTTTCTTTCCCTGTTTCGCTATACCTACTTATCTCACCAGGCGCGGTTGTAGCATCACACTAAAAGGCACTAAAAACGCTATATTTAAACAGATATCCTTATAAAACCCACCCCTGAAACCGAACAACACATTGTATCCTGCAGCCAGAAAACGGGCCGAAACAGCGAAACCGAAAAATCCACGACATTTTCCGGTTGAGATAATTATACGCCTTGCAAGCGTCAGCCTTCGGAAAAGGAGAAGACCACTACTTAATCAACATAGTAGGAGGGCGGCGGTGACTACAAACCAGGGTGGAGCTATCTGGAATTGAAAATCTGACATCACCCGACTCGGCTTAACTGCAACATGGTAGCCCCCTCGCTGCTTCATGGTGGTTATTCTCGATTGTGTACAAGAGGCACAAATCAAGTAGTAAGCACCCACCAGTAGGCAAATTTCCGCGACTCTGCATAGGCTAGGACCTTGCTAAGGCCTTGGTAAAAGAATATGCTATTCCAGATTTCCTACCGTAATTACCTAGAACTCTACTGCAATCCTAAGTGCCGGGAATTCGTCCACGGGGTGAGCACAAGTACTCCCGAACGCTAAGCGCACAAAAGCATCTCCTTATCACCGCTTCGTGGTTGAACCCAAAAAAACATGGGCTGCTTCTTTTCTACAGGAGAGCCTTTCCTGAGTCTGTTCCCTTCTGTCAGAGAGGCGCACGCCACCATGCCGAATTAGGTCAATGACGTGAGCATGTGAACAGGGATCGTATAAGTAGAGCTTAAGATTGTCGTTTATGCGGGAAGACCTATACAATGTCTTCCAGTTCAGGCGTAGCTGATAAGGTAGCAGGGGGAAGAGCATGAATCTACTTGGCGCGTCTCTGCACCGCTTATAGTTGCTACTTCTCTTCAGCGTAATTATCTTTTGTTCATTTACAAAGCCGAACAGGTGGAATGATTCTAAAAGCAAGGCCCGTAACAATTGCAGGCGGAGACGGAGTCTTCCGGTAGCCCCTAAACAAAGGTAGCTACTAAATTACCGACTCATCCGGTGCAGATTTAACTAGGGATAAAGGGTTATTCAGTGCGCTTGGCGTTGAAGGATGCCAAAGCCGGACCTAGAGGATAGGCGACTTTTGTCTACATTCTTTTACCACAAATAGAACGTGCTGCACTTCAAGTGTTTTCATTTCATTATTGAATCCTGAATTCACTATTAGGTCAATAGTGGCTTATTTCCAGCAGTGTTCTTGTACAACCCTACACGTTGGCAGCTTTATCCTAATTTTATTAATTCACCGAGAGGCTCCGCCTGTTAAGCGCTAAAACGATAGATCTACCTCCTTTATACTACCATGGGCTAGCGGTCTACGGGCTAAGAGTTGGCCTCAGGATCGATCAAAGGTTCATACTACAAGCCTGGGGATCGATCATGCACGACAGTCTGCATCCCTGATTGTTTTGAGCATTGCCTTTCGGCGCCTATGCACATAGCGTATTTCACCGTACGCTCGGTTTGGTGAGCCGAACCTTTACTTGTCCCATCTTAGATCTTGTAAGCCCAATAGGTAGTAGGACATTACTGCGTTTGTTTGTAAGCTGTTAGCTGGCGAAACATTCTTTTTTGTAGCGAAAAACCATACGTTCAGGATAGAATGGAGGCCTAACCTCGTGGTAGTGCTCGCTAGTAAATCGTTTGTAAATACTAGTATTCTTGTGAATGATGCTTCACTGCTGTACAGTGCTGTGTGTGGTACCTACTGCATCGTACAATCGGTTGCGCCAGTGCGTTGGAATCACATGTAGAATCAATGTCTCAGTCCGACTTCTCTAATGAATTAATTCAAATTCATTCCTGTTCCTCACAGTCTCGTTCAGGATAAATCATAGTGATAACTAATTGCGCTCTATGTCTATATAACAAGAGAGATAAGTACGAATATACAGGCTTAGAGTAGGTAAGCATGCTGTAGGGTTAGAATTACATCCTCTCTTAGAGTATGAAGAAAGACTAAACATCTTTCTTATGAGATGCTGTGTATATCAGTTAACCTATCTGCGGTAGCGCCCTTGATTTTCAAGGGTCGGTGCTGAAGAAGCTGCCTAGTACTACGTAGTCTTATAAACTAGACAGTAGATCAAGTGGAGCTGTAAAAGCAACCTAGCTTCGTATTATCTCTTAAAGACGATCTTAGGGCTACACTACAATCTATCATAGGTGGAAGAAGTGCACAGACCCTATTGGAGATCTTAATATCGTGTCTTTAGCCCGTCACTATTACGTAGTGGGTTCATAGATAGAGTTGACAACTGCTAATTGAGGATATATTAGCTACGGGATTCGATGTCAATCATACCGTGCCCATAGTACATGCAGCTTTATGGTCAAGGAGTTAGCTCCAAGCAATACAACACAGGTTAGGCAAAAGAAACGTGCCCACTTGTGCTAGGCCATCTAGTGGGCCAGTATCCAGCTATTCATTCGGTAGTATTTTGGAGACTCAATGCTTGGTCGCTTTGGCAGCTACCAAAGTCACTGTCTTCATAAATATCTCGATGTATAAGATTACGTCTGGCCCGGTGGTCTGTTGATATATTATCCATACATAGTAGTCTCTGGAATGCTGAAATGGGGATAATTAGCATAGCAGGGCATTCGTCTCACAGGTGTATTGCATTAGCTTTGTGTTAAACAGACTTTAAATGAATTAAAATAGATAATTCCTATAAACCTAGATTCCAAGCGTGAGGCGAAGGGGGAAGATGTAGAGAATTGCTTTCCGGCACGAAATCACTATACATCTTGATTTAAATCTCTACATGCATTGGCAGGCGCCGCCTCCCATTCCCTATTAATAGACGTGGTCATTAGCGACTTCTCCTTGTTTGTTTGTTCTGGATGTTAGAAAGAGAGAGGACAAGCATATCCTTACCATCTTTGCGTCCGAACAGCATCTGAGAGCAGTGCAGGCCTCGGGACTTTGTACTTGTGTACCACTCGTTGAACATTGACGAGCATTGAGCTGGTTTGCGGCACCAATGGTGTCGGAAGTCGGGGCAGCCAGAGCAACAGGGAACCCCGCAAGGAGTCCAACAAGGCCGATGAAGATGGATGGAAGATGCATGATGAATGAGTGTTGGTGGAAAGGGAACTAGAGTTAAAAGATTGTATAAAATGAGTGACTGTGAAGAGTGTGAGCGAGTGTGGTGGTTGCAGTGGAAATCGTGATGGGACAACTGTTTATATTCTTCAAAAATTGGTATATCCCCTACTAGCCTACTTTGCACTCTTTCCAGCTACCGTATAGTACTGTTGCTACTTCATTGAGCCAGTAAACGGTTTATTGCAGTGTATCGGTCCGACAGGGTCAGTTTCTAGGGGGTATTGTGTTATGCGGCCAATGGACTCCCACACAAAGTATCAACTCATTTCAAGGAAACAAGACGTAGGAGTGTTTCGGTTTCCAGAAACGCCGAAGCCCCTAATGTGAGCGCTGAAATGTGTTGTGTCACGGGGGGTGCTTGGCGTGTCAGTGCCCTAACAACTTGATGTAGTTACCTCCTGTATAAGCACTACTCTAGCACTACTAAAAGGGCAGTTGTACACCCGACACGATACTGTAAAAGGTTGCAAGTCTAACGATAATGGAGTAGAGGCTTGGAAGTGATGCCTTGCTCTTTTGTAATTTACCCGAGAGATATCATGAACAAGTCAAGACTTCTATCACCAAAACCATGATTAGATCATTATCCATCTCGCATCTCATTCTTGTTATTTTCCGTAAGATGTACAGGTGTATATAGTATATCAATACAGTGCAAAGCGGCTTAGTTGATGGATGCCTTTAATCTCTACTTCTAAGTGTGATATGGTAACTGGGCAGTGTCCTGAGAGTACCAACGATCCTGTGAGAGAGGGGTTGTTAGCTAGTGCAAGCATCCCGAGGCATGTGCAGCCAAGCAGTAAGCATTTAGCAACGATTTGATAGGGAGCTATTCGCCATATACAGCAACCGGCCGGGTGTCGTTCCATTTTACTTATTTACTTATTAGGCTTGGCAAGAAAAATCTCCGGATCAGAACTAGACCGGAGATGACGACTCTGACTCGTCTCGGATTGTTCCGTCTCATTAAATAGCTGATGAAGCGAATACTGTGCGAGTCTTTTCTGTAAGATAGCGCTGCAATGCTTATCTCCGTAAAGGAAAGGATGCTCGCTGGAAGATTACACATGAACAGAGCACGTTGATTCCGGAGGATAAGTGATATATGTGTCTAGATACAGTAACTGTAAGGAGTGGAGCTCGGGGAGACGGCAACAAAACCTGCTGATGCGGGAGCAGCGCGTATGTGTAGGTAAGTTTGGAATGACTCGAAAAGGTAAGTATGACGCTGGAATCGTTCGGCTCCCGGACAACACTTCCTCGCCCCACCAACGAAATCTTATCAGATCACAGCTGTGCTACTTACTTTGGGGGCGGACGCATCGTGACTGCGCCAATCGCATTGTTTGTAGAACCCGTTCATTTCTGTTTTACTGGAAATCAAATTCGCAGCCACGATGACGTTGCCGAAAAATCTGCGGATAGGCGTTGATGTGGGAGGGTAAGCAAAGCATGGGTAGCTAGTGAGCAAATGGCCAGAACCACAGCACTAATGGTTTCTATGATAGCACGAATACGGATGGAGTAATCATCGATCCGGGGAAACCGGACCAGGATGATCGGGGAATCATTGCTTGGTAAGATTGCTGCTCTAGTTCTCTCTCTCTCTCTCTCTCACACACAGGACTAATCTGGCTGCGACCCCTCCAAACCCCCAATGCTCACATGGACGAGAACTGCCAATTCACATGCTCACGGACGCGAATATCCAATTTACATGCTGTGCTAGAATATGAGAGCTTACAGGAACCATCAGGCACAAGGCTCCTACGACGGCGAATCCCAGCCATGGTATCGCGAATGCAATCACCACCATGTTCAAATCCGCTTCGGTGGATCCAGCAGCCGTGGCCAGCGTGACGATAGGAACTACTCATTTCGTGAATGCAGTAGTTACCAGGGATCAATCACGTCTGTCTCGTGTCGGCGTGCTTCGTCTGTGCGGCCCATTCAGCAAGCATGCTCCTCCATGTGTCGATTGGCCTGCTTCCTTACGCACGATTATTCTCGGACATTACGCACTAATCGACGGGGGCTTGGAGGTGGATGGCAGCCTTATTTCCGACATTAGAGAGCAAGAGATCGTGGAGCAATGCCATGTCTTCAGAGAAAAGGGAATCAAGAGCATCGTAGTAAACGGCGTCTTCAGTCCCATCGATACTGTCGAGAGACAGGAAGAGCGGGCAGCAGATATCATCAGGCGCGAGCTAGGCAACGAGGTAGATATCGTCCTCAGCAAGACGGTAGCCAACCTTGGGTTTCTCGAGCGCGAAAACGCAGCCATCTTGAACGCCTCGATCCTATCTTTTGCCAGGAAGACAATTGCATCGTTTCAGGCCCCCATCAAAAAACTGGGTCTGAATTGCCCAGTCTTCATCACACAGAATGACGGCACCATCTTGAGCGGTAAAGCAGCGAGTCGACTGCCCATTCGCACATTCTCATCTGGTCCTACAAACAGTATGCGCGGAGCTGCGTTTCTCATCGGGATGCAGGAAAAAGGAGAAGCCATGATGGTCGTTGATGTGGGTGGAACGACATCCGACGTTGGGCTATTGCTTCCAAACGGATTCCCGAGACAGCAAGCCGCCTACTCGGAACTAGCTGGTGTGAGGATGAACTTCTCGTATCCCGATGTGAAGAGCATGGGACTGGGGGGCGGGAGTCTGGTGAGAAGAGTCCAGGGGCGCATGCAGGTTGGGCCGGAATCTGTAGGCTACCAGCTACCCGAGAAAGCACTTGTTTTCGGTGGCAGCGTCGCGACAGCCACAGATTATACAGTTGCAGGCTCATCGGATCTTAGCATAGGCGAGCCGGAAAAGGTCCGAGGAAAGCTTGCCGAAGAGGATGTGCAGGCCTTCAGAAGCGAGACCAAGCGCATGCTGGAGAGGATCATCGACACGATGAAGACGTCGCCCGAAGACGTTCCTGTTCTCCTGGTCGGCGGTGGCGCAGTCATAGCCCCGGACGCGCTCAAAGGCGCAAGTCGGGTTGTAAAGCCGAAATGGTCCGGCGTAGCCAACGCCATCGGCGCCGCAATGGCCCGCGTCAGCGCTGTCGTCGACACGGTCAAGTCAACCGAGAAGCAGTCTGAAAAGGAGAGTCTGGCCGAAATTTGCGACCAAGCCAAGCTAAAAACCATTGCTGCGGGTGCCTTGCCACACACGACGGTCATTGTCGAGGCGGAAAGTCTGCCTTTGCAATACGTCTCGCACAAAACGCGCTTCATAGTCCGAGCCGCGGGTGACTTTGACTTTTCACGCGCAAGCGACTTTGCAGACTTGAACGTGACCAAAGAGGGAGAAGACTCGGAAGCTGTTTTAGAAGATGCAGGGGCTGCCATTGCTGCGCCCTCGATTAGAGAAGACACAGAGGAGGCGGACGCAGTACCCGATATTGACATCACTGCGTACAGGCCTCACGTGCAGAATCGCGAGTGGCGGATATCAGAAACCGATCTCACCTGGATGACCATCGGCTGCTACATCCTGGGTACCGGTGGAGGCGGGTCTCCATACTCGACCATGCTCCGGGTTCGTGGCATACTGCAGTCTGGCAACACTATTCGGGTCGTGAGCCCCGACGATCTCAAGGACGATGCTCGGGTGGGCAGTGGAGGCGGCGCTGGCAGTCCTACCGTCGGAATCGAGAAACTATGTGCTGATGAGTACGTCTCCACTGAATAATAACATCAAGGAGGTTTTGCACTAATAACATGGCAGGATGATGGATGCTCAGAACCAGCTCTACCACCTCCACGGAGGCCGGTATGCAACGCACATTATCCCGCTTGAAATCGGCGGTTCCAATGGACTGCAAGGCCTCGTTCTAGGCGCGTCAAGCAACATGAACGTACCCTGTGTCGACGGCGACTGGATGGGCCGCGCATACCCCACCAAATGGCAGACAACGCCCGTAGTGTTTGGCGAGCGCGAGATAGTCTTCGCGCCCGTCGCTGTAGCCGACGGAAATGGAAATACGCTGTACATGCCTACCGCGAAGAGCGATCTGAAAGTGGAACAAGTCATTAGAGCGGCACTGACTCAAATGGGTAGTGCGGTCGGTACAGCCGACGCTCCAGTGACGGGCGCAGAGACCCGACGATGGGCCGTTGAGCACACTATTTCGCTGTCCTGGCGCATCGGCCGAGAGGTGGCGAGAGCACGCAAGGAGAACAGAATCGATGGCGTTGCGGAATCCATCATCGACGCTGTTGGTGGCCCCGAGACAGGCCGTGTGCTGTTCAAAGGCAAGATCGTGGGCGTAGAGCGCAAGCTGTACATGGGCCATGTCTATGGCGAAGTCGTCATTGAAGGCATGACGGCAGAGTACAAAGGCAAGATCAAGATTCCCTTCAAGAACGAAAACATCGCCGTGGTACGCATACCAGACAGCGGCGAAAGCCAGACTGGAGAGGAAAACAACGAAGACGTGCTTGCCATTGTCCCCGATCTCGTCGCGGTGATAGATGCGCAGAACGGCGAGGCTATCGGAACGCCAGAGTACAGATACGGCTTGCTAGTCTCTGTCATTGGCATCACGGCGAGCGAGCGCTGGACCAGTGCAAAGGGAATCGAGATTGGAGGGCCGAAAGCGTTTGGGTTGGGCCATCTCGAGTACAAGCCTCTGGGCAAGTTTGTGAAGCCTATCAGTGTTATTGACGAGTATGATGGGAAAGCGTAATTAGGTAGTCGATTAAGTCTATGTAGCTTCAAGCTGCCTGGCGCCGGGATACAAGGGCAGAATAATCTTGACAGCGGCCTCATAGCTCGTGAACAATATCCCGCCGCTAAACACTGTGCGTCCCAGCCTCATGGTGGTGCCCTTCCAGAATCCCCGAATGCCATAATCCATTAGCACGCTCTTGACGGCCTCGGCAGTCGTCGTTCCCTTTGCGCTCTGCGACCGTGTCTTGATGACGTCAAATGGCTGTGTGGAAAGGGTTGTGACAATGCCGGCTACGGATCCATTTGCAAAGTTGATGGCTGTATTTTGCTCGATATTCTTGCTCTTTTCAAAGTCCTTGAGGATGTTGTACGTCCCCAGTCGGAATGCAGTCGCTGATGCTTGTTTGAGCGTGGTGCCGACGAATCCGCGGTAGAGTCCCAAAATACCATGCTCTTTCCAAATGGTAGTGGTAGCATGCAGGCCAGAGCGGAAGCGCTTTTCATTTCTAGCGTCGTCTATGACTGCGGTTTTGATGCGCTCGGTTGGTGTAACTGCGGTTATCGATGCAACGACTCCGGCCGTCATACCGGCGAGTAAGTTGCGCAGAGGAGAAAGGGTGCCAGTCTCTGGATCGGCAAAAGAAGACTTGATCTGGTCGAAGAAGAGAAATCGAACGGCATCTTTTCCGACTGATCCCTGGTCTAACGTTGGCTTCGATGCTCAGAGCATAGCAGACACACATTCCCGTCTGGTAACAAGAGACAGGCCCAGACAAATAAACAATTGCTAGAGACTAGACACATAGATGTCATGAGAAATATACTTACAAACACTAGGGCGCCACAGCCCTTGTACAGCGCCCTGATGCCCTCCTGCTGATAGACCTGTGTCACGACCCAAAAAGGGTTTCGCGGCGTAGGCACATTTGATTCAGCCCTCAACTGGACTCTCGTCTTTGCGAATTCCAACGGATACTGTGCAGGCATAAGTCACGAGATCAATGGCAGCGGGATACTGCTTTGGACGGTACCGAGAGAAATCCTTCTACGCCGCCAGCCACACCGCCAGCTGCCAGAGAGACTACCGCAGGGATATTGTCGTCCTGTGTCCATCAGTAAACGGTCCTACAAAGCTCATCGCGCCAACTTGCATTGCCGCCTGAAACCATTTGCGTCTAGGGCTCGTAGTGTCGAGATGGGGGACGAGCGTGAGTATTTTGATGGTAGCAGCAGGAGAGAGATGCAGGTTTCCAGCCCAACCGATAAGTAACCGAGCTTCCGATGCCGTTTTTTCCAACCTACGGCTCGGTTCCGATTGCGCGTGCGCGCGCCCTGTTGCCGGCATCGCGAAAGCGATTTTTCCCGATGCGCAACACCCATGTCCAGAAGCAAGAAGAAGAAGAAAAAAATCGCCGTACCTCGATTATTCAGCTCAGTTGCTCCTTCGGATATGGGCATGTCAACGGCGTATTTGTGATCTAGTGGACCCGCCCGCCTATGCGACATGGACGTGGACGTAGAAACAGCTAGTCTGCATACAAGCTCTCTCTAAATTGACTGCATGCGCTAAAGCGACCACGTGTACGCCCCAGCAGTCTGGCACGAGCAAATATAGCTGCATGAAAACTCAAAATAGATTTTTTGGAGATTGTACTAGAATCACGCCAATAATTGCTAAAAAGCGTAAAAGAGGGCATATTTTTGCAGGCTGGGTTGTTCTGGATCTAAGTACGGAGGTGCCTCACAAAAGTTTTGTCCTGCCAAGAATAATTTAGCCGAAATCT